CGGTTCGGGCGATCAACACGTTATCGGGTTTGAGATTGCGGTGAATGACCGCCGGTTTCGATGAATGCAAATACTGTACGCATTCCACGAGTTCTTTGAATAATTGGCACGAAATGAAAAACTCGACGGAATTCATGGCCTGAGCGGCCGTTTGGCGGCCAAATGCCCGCCGTTTTAGCGCCAATATATTGCGCAGACTGTCGGCGCATAACTCCATCTGTAGGTAGTATTTGTCGCTTTCAAACCACGAGTTTAAATAGTGTACGACATAGTCGGAGCGTATTTTAATAAGGTTGTTTAACTCCTTGAATAGTTGTGATTGGTCACAGAAATCAGCCCGAGCTGAAAGTGCAATAACTATGTAATATATTTTTGTTTTGTATTGATTTGTATAATAAGTATTACATACCTTGTAGGTCAAATGTTTTGACAGCATATTTATGGCCATCCAATTTTCGCCTCACTTTATATACTGTGCCAAATGAGCCTGACCCAATCTGACATAGCTCATCGTATAGTCTACTATATTCGCTCAGGCTCCTTTTTAATTTTCTGGCCGTTTGATCTGTATAATTAAATTACTGTTAATTATATAATTTTAATGCATGTTATAAAACATACCATCGATTGTTCGCTTAATTGTATCAAACATTTTGTCCAAAAATAATGTGTATTTCGCGACAAATCTGTCATTTTTAATGTGAGAATTCTCTCTATAATTAAACAAATTAATTGTTTTCAACGTATTGTCGCTGCAGTCAAACAAACTGCGATAATCTGTGAGAAGTAAATCATTTTTATCATTTAGGAAATAAATCTTGTCGGTAATAACGGCCATAATCAACGATGATCGTTCGCGTTGAGAGTTGATTTGCTGCAACTCTTGGCACCTCCTATTCGAGTGGATTTTTGTCGGGAACTTTCGGAGGGAATATTCCCCGTTTTGAGCCATATATTGGCCGCAAAAATACACTAAACCCTCATTTGATAGAAAGTATGTCACGAGTCCTGTGGAGCACACGGTCTCCACACCCGACAGACTGGCAATCATTAGGGGTTTCGCAACATTTCCCGCCACCGGATGTCCCAAATTGTGGAAATAATTGCGACCCCAACTGAACACATGGCCGGTGTATGCGATGGCAAACGACGAATAACTCAAACAGTAAACGGATTTAATTTTATATTCATTATTATTGTGTTTAAAATGCAATTTCTTAGGCACGGGTACCGCCGAGTGGGGCGACCGGGAACTGGACTCACCGTCGCCGCACCCGACCTGTCCGTATCGGTCGTAACCCCAGCCGTAGACACAGCCCTCGCCGGTGAGCGCCAGCGAGTGATACGAACCGCAACTGATGTGCGTTATATTCAGTCCGTTTAACTCAGGTAT